GAAAGTATCCATAGAATGAAAGAGTGAAGGAACACAGTATTTTTTAAAACTTATATTTAGCATCTTAGAAAACTAAGGCAGTTAAAGATTTTATTATTTAAATATAGTTTATTTAATCTCACCAAAGTCTTGAAGTCTGAAGAGAGAAAAAAATGATTTTAATATCAACCTTTAATGTCTCCAAAAAAAAAAAAAAAGGATAAGGCAGTGGAGGAGGAAGAGAAAGAAGGTAGGATATGAGCAGGAGGAGGTAGTGGAGAAATCAAATAAACTGAAAGATTTTAGTTGTGTAGAGTCACATCTGATGCACTTCTTTGGGATATGGAGGTGGGTCTTAGGGTGAAGCAGAAGAATTTAACACCAAATAAATGTATTCAACTAACTGGAATGGTGATGAAATGCTTTCTCTTTGCCTGGCAATCATCTGAGAATGGTATTATAGTGAGTAGCTTAAGGAATGGGATGCCCAGTCACTGATTCTCTAATTGCACTTATTGATTACAACCAAGACTGCTTACTTACTGATGGGAATAGAGCTGTTTGGAAATACTGTAACTCCAGTGTAGTTTTGCAGAGCAGAGCTATGCCTTGGTATCATTGTCCAAGGAAATAGAAACTTCACATTAGAGTTTGAAAGGACCCATGAACCCTCACATTTTCATGACATTTTAGAGTTTATGGCAGAGAATTTCCCCTTTGCTTTCTTTAGAACATCTCTTTGGACTCAACTCCTCCATTCCTTTTCCTGTTGGTGCTTAGAAGTGTCACAGATTAGAAACCACACGTTCCAAGAAAAATTCTCCCTTCTGGAGTAACAAACACGTCCTTAGCAAAATATTTAACATTTGAATTTCCTTGAAAAGCAGAAGCCAGTGAAAGGTCAGGCTTGGTGTTCAGCTATCCTTTTGAGAAAGAAAATCTAGTTTGGAGTGTGATTGTATGAAAATACAAAGAGTGATGTAAAAACCTTCCTGAGAGCAAAGGAGATACTGCACTGGCTGAGCACATGCTACACTGCAGGTGCTGAGCTTCATAGGTCATTTTCACCCATTTTCTTTCCTTTTAGTCTTTTAATCTCAAAATATGCTTGTGAGGTCAATAGTAATATCCTCATTTGTATAAACCCCTATTTGTATAATTTATTGTTTGTATGACAATAAAATTAAGTTCAGAGGTGAAGTTATGTGCTCAAAATGATCAAACTTGCAAATCATGGAGCAGAGATTTGAACTTGTATCTTTCTGACAGCAAATTCCCTGTTCCTGGTTCTACAATGTAGTGACAAGAACACTGTCTTCAGGGGGACAGGTGGAAAGAGGTCTTCAGTAAGGGAGAAAGTGTTTTAGGACGAGGAGCTGGGATTCTAAAAATACCCTTTAATTTAACTCAGTGCCACCCAGGGTGGCTTTGTGTTGGAACATTCCTCCTCACCCTCATGGCCAGCACTTGTGAAACAGGGCTGTCACGTAAGTTGTTCTCAAGTGAACACTTTCCCACCAGCTGCCTTACCTTCTGGTCAAAGGCAGGTGATGCCTTCTCTTGATACCAGAGAACACTACATGATACTCTTTCATATAAAAATCATACATTGTGCCTCCATATAGCAGGGTCATATGATGGTTACATGTCAGAGCCCTATAATTACACTAATTCGTTCAAATCCGAATTCCAAAAAATTTCTAGATACATTATCTCAGTAAAGTCATTTGAGACATTTGAAACCTCTGTTTTCTCATCTTTAAAAGAGAAGTAATCTCAGTATCAATTATTAGGACAATTATCAGAATTAAATGAAAGAGTTCATGTCTAGTACCAGTGAAATGTCCAGCACAGTCAGTACTTAAGAAATGTTTGTGTATTATGTAGAAGGCTGTGTGCACACTGAGGATAGCAATATTAATCTGGTCTTCTCTTTATAGGCTTGGTATGTATGTAAAGAACAGCCAGTGGCAATTTGTAAAGTGCCTATTTATCTCAAGACATGACATTATTTTTGTATAAAAGACTAATAAGATGTTTTCTCAAGGGTCTCTTTATTACCTGTCACATGGGATTTGCTGGTAATTAACTCTGTGTATAGCTACATGATTATGGAAATGCAGGGATTAGAAATCATTAAATAAGACTAAAATCAAAATGGGAATCAAAACAGGCTCAGAAACAAAGGTACACCTAAGTTAAGAGCATATTATAAAAATATTAATTTGCAAACAGATTTTTGATGGTTAGGAATCCATCTTACAGGTATCTAGACACTCTGGACTTTTCTCTAATGACTAAGGAATTAGGAAAGCTTTTAAGGAATTGTTCGCTGAGTTGTCAAAAATTTTAATAGATACCACTACCAATATGTTAGCTCATAGGACACAGTATACTTAGTATGCTTTTGATTGACAGTGTTTTCAAGCATAAAATGTAATGCATTGTATCTAAATATCTTAATCAGCTGAAATGAAATTACTTAAGATTCCCCCAGGATCTCATGTCTTAATGGCTTTGGAACTAAAATTAGCTTTAATTCAATAGTTGTTCATCAATTTCCCAAAGAGACTGTGGAGAGAGGTGGAGGAAAAGAGAAGGAACAGACCAACTTTATGATCTGCTGCCACATGACTTTGAGATAAAGTGTCTGATGCTAAGACCAACTCTGTTTCCACTAAACCTGATGACTTCCCCAGGCTAGGGTGCTGAAGCTCTTTAAGCTTTAGGATTACAGAAAGCTTATCATTACAGCCATAAATCATAGCAGTAAGAGAATGAAAAGATGTCCTAGTGGAATTCAATTGGATTAAAGAAACAAATAGATCTGAGGCATGTTTGTACAGCTGTATGAGTTACTCATAACAAAGGACTTTCTAGCCTTGGATCGGCCTGGACTAATTTGGATGTGGAATTGAGATGCTGTTGAGTTTGCACTGGTCCAGCCACTCTATGAGATTAATGAGTAGTCATGATAAGTCACATCTGTTTATTCAATCATTTAAATACAATGCATTTGAGCTTATTGGAATTCTCAATCTCCCCAAGTCTGAAGCAGCCATGTTGTAAAGTCTTAATAGGAAAGTTGTCATAGTACTGACTGCCCTCTTGGTCAGGACAGCTCAGCCAAGGCTGGTTCTTCGCAGTTCTGAAAAGAAGTCATATCAAAAACTGGACTTCACAGTGCATTCTGCATTAGGCATTTCTAAGATCCTGCCATAGCCTTGATGCAAAATAGGGCTGCAGGAATACTGAGAATACTAGAACTAGGAGGAACCTATTCCAGGTACCAGACCTGGAAAGGACAGCCAGGATACTCAGGTGACAATAGGAGTGTGGGAGGAGAGATGGTCACAATCTCAATTATGCCTTTGCTCGTGTAAACTGGAAATAATCTGGACTTCGGGCAGATGCTCCAGTGTTAGATTGTTGTTGCCCATTGTCCTGGGAAACCAATACATGTATAATAATAAGTCTCTTGAGTAGTGGGCAAGGGATGAAACGGGACCCAAGACAAGTAAAGGGGGACTGACAAAAACATGGATGGGGCTGGGGATGGTGATTCAGGCCCATAATTTCAGCACTTTGGGAGGCTGAGGCAGGCAGACCACTTGAGGTCAGGAGTTTGAAGCCAGCCTGAAGAGCATAGCGAAACTCCATCTCTACTAAAAACACAAAAATTAGCCAGGTATGGTGGCACATGCCTGTAATCCCATCTACTCAGGTGTCTGAGGCATGAGAATTGCTTGAACCTGGGAGGCAGAGATTGCAGTGAGCTGAGATCACGCCCCTGCACTCCAGCCTGGGTGACAGAGCAAGACCCTGTCTCAAAAAACATAAAAACAAACAAACAAACAAAAATAATACTTGGCTGGACAACATGGCCCCACGGTGGGCTGAGTATCTGTTTACAACTACATAAGTGATCCAAAGCAGACAACCTGCCTTATGAACAGCCACCTACAGGGTGAAGACTCATTGGTCCATGGTTCACCCTTGAAACAGACACTCCCTAAAGTCCAGTTGAAAGAAAAGAGGTATTATTAATACCACATGGCAGGTTATATTTGTGACTGAATGATTGGAACAATGACTGTCAGATTTTAAATCCTTGCCTCTAGATGGGGAAGTCGGCTGGGGTGGGAAAATCTTGTTCGCATACATTCTTCTTTTAGGAAACACTGAGGTTACAGCAGATGGCCTGAAGCCTTCAGAAGGATTAAGCTCAGGCAGAGTCTTACATCTACTGTTGGATAAATCCTGATGACTTTCTCCAATCTCAGCATCACTTCCAAGGATGATAGTCCTTATTAAAATAAACTGCCCTCCACATGCTATAGTAGAAAGAACATAAACTTTGTAATCAGGTAGACCTCAGTTGAAGTATTGGCTTTGCTACTTCCTGGATAAGTACTGAAGTTGAATCTAATTATTTTCTACAATGTATGCTGTGTACAAATAAAATGCATTGATGATTAAATGAAGGGAGAACTATTTTCTAATCTGAAAAAGAAAATAGCACTTCTACATTACTTACGAGAATATAGTTAGTATGAATCACCAATAAATATTCACTTTTTCTCATCATCTTGTACTCTCTATACAAGAACATCATAATTGTGATATTTTTATTGGATTCAACAATAGAAAATATTTTTACTTAATCTGAATCACAGGATAATTGATGCAATAAGAACAAGTGGTAAAATGCAAAAATCCTCAATAAAATATTAGCAAACAGAATCCAACAGTGTAGAAAAAGAATTCTAAATGATGGCCAAATAAGATTTATCTTACAGGATGCAAGATTGATTCAACATTTGAAAATTTATTAATGTAATCTATCACTTCAATGGGCTAAAGAAGAAAAATTATACAACTATGCTAATACATGCCAAAAAAAAGCATTTAACAAAATCCAACATCCATTTATGATGAAAATGATTGCCTAACTAGAAATAGATGGGAGTTTTTGCAATTCAATAAAGAATATATACAATAAAACCTTCACCTACCATTATCCTTAATGGTGAGAAACTTGAAGCTTTCCCAATAAGATCAGCAATAAGGCAAGAATGTCCCCTCTCACCATTATTTTTCAACATCATACTGGAAGCCTTAATTACTGCAGTAAGACAAGAAAAGGAAATAAAAGGTATATAGACTGGAAAGGAAGAAATAAAACTGTCTTTGTTCATAGAAGACATAAAAATCTATGTAGAAAATCTCAAATAATTAACAAAAATAATTTCTGGAATAGCAATGTTTCATGATACAAGGTTAATATACAAAAGTAAACCATTTTGATATAGACCAACAATGAACGAGTAGAATTTAAAATTAAAAACATAATGCCATTTACTTTAGCACCTCCAAAAATGAAATAGTTGGGTTGAAGCCTAACATAATGTTGGGGTTTTGGGGTTCAGGGACGCCCTCAGCTCCCCTGAGAGGGCATTTCTCCAAGGTTCTTGGTCCCTTGCTCTCTCAAGAAGGAGAGAGGAGACCATCGTGCAGTGCACTTGTAAAGTAAATACCGGACTCAAAAAGCTTTTGTGGAAAAGTGATTTATTTAGGTAGAGAAAGAAAAAGGAGAAGAAGAGAGAAAGAAACAGCTAACTCTCACACCGAGTGAGAGAAAGAAAAGCTGCTCTCACACTGAGTGAGAAGGGTTCCCAGAAGGGGGAAAACCAGAGAAGGAAAGCTCCTCTCACCCGAGTGAGAGAATCCAGAAAGATAGAATCCAGGAGAGGAAAGCAGCTTCCACGCTGAGTGGAAGGGAATAGAGAGAGACAAAGATGGAGATTAGGAGGGGAAGGAAGACAGGCTTCCATCAGAGACTGTGGAAGGGGACTCCAGAGGGAATATCTGCCCAGATGAGTGAGACAGGGACTTTTAACCTGGAAGGAATTCCCTCCTTCTCCAAGTTCCCTTGGCCAATGAAGAGAGTTCCCTTAAACTTCTGCTGGAGTAATTGACTTTTTGATTCTTCCCGTGCCGGCGAAAATTAAAACAGAGACCATTAAATCTCCTGGATGGAGAGAGATGGGAGGGAGGCATGGTGCTAGGAAGTTCTTACGCTTAAAACTATGCCCCCTTGTGGACCTGGAACGAGAACACCGTCCCTCAATAACATACAAGATCTATTTTTCTCTTAAGGAAAATTCCGAAACTCTGATGAAAGAAACCAGAGAAGAACTACATAAATAAATAGCTATTTTATGTTCATGGATAGGAAGATTCAATATCATCAAGATGTCAGTTTTCAATTTTATCAATAAACTCAATGCAATCTCAATCAATATCTCAGCAAGATATTTTGTGGATATTGACAAAGTGTCTATAGTTATATAGAAAGCAAAAGACTCAAAATAGCTAACACAATATTGAAGCAGCGGAAGAAAGTGGAAGAACTGATACTATCAACCTTGAGACTTACCTTATAAGTTACAGTAATCTAGACAGTATGGCATTAATGAAAGAATAAATACTTCAATATAAATGAATGAAGAGTATAGAAGTAAATCCACATGAATATAGTCAATTGATCTTTGGCAAAGGAGCAAAGACAATGTAATGGAGAAAAGATTGTCTTTTTGACAAATTGTGCTTCAACAACTAGATATCCACATTCAAAAGAGAGAAACCAGACACAGGCCATCCATTATTTATAAAAACTAATCCCAAATGGATTGTAGGCCTAAATGTAAAACACAAAACTATAAAACTTTCAGAAGGTAACATCATAAAATCTAGATGACCTGAGTATGGCAATCACATGTTAGATACAGCATTAAGGATACAATCCATGAAAGAAGTAACTTATTAGCTTGACTTTATTGAAGTTTACAATTTCTACTTGGCAGAAGACACTGTCAAGAGAATAAGGAGGCAAGCCACAGACTGAGAGAAAATATTTGCAAAAGACATGGCTGATTAACTGTTATACAAAATATACAAAGAATTCTTAAAACTCAACAAGATGAAAAATGTAACTTTAAAAAAAAAATAGGACAAAAGACCTGAACAGATACCTCACCAAAGAAGATATACAAATGGCAAGTAAGTCTATGAAAAGATGATTCACATTATGAAATACAAATCAAACAATGAGATACCACCACATCCCTACTGGAATGGCCAAAAGCTAGAAAACTGACACCACCACATGCTATAGAACAATAGGAACTCTCGTTTGTTGCTGGTGGGAATGCAAAATGGTACAGCCACTTTGGAAGACAGTTTGGCAGTTCCTCACAAAACTAAGCATAGTTTAGTTACCATATAATTCAGCAATGGTACTCTGTAGTTTTTATCCAAATGAATTGAGAACACAAAAAAACAACCTGCACATAGGTGTTTATAGAATCTTTATTTATAATTGCCAAAAATTGACAGTATCCAAAATCCCCTTCAGTAGATAAATGAATAAACTGTGTCAGTTTTCAGCCAAATGAATTGAGTACATATGTCTACAAAAAAACCAGCACATCAGTATTTATAGAATCTTGATTTATAATTGCCAAAAAAATTGACAGCATCCAAACTCCCCTTCAGTAGGTAAAAGAATAAACTGTGACACATCCAAATTCTGGAATATTATTTAGTACTAAAAAGAAATGAGGACCAGGTGAGGTGGCTCATGCCTACAATCGGGTCTTTGGGAGGCCAAGGTGGGAGGATTGCTTGAGTCCAGGAGTTCAAGACCAGCCTGGCCAACATAGCGATACCTGACCTCTACCAAAATAAACAAAATTAGCCAGACAGACATAGTGGTAAACACTTGTAGTCACAGCTACTCGGGAGGCTGAGACGGAAAAATGGCTTGAGTCTAGGAATTCAGTGAGGGCCACGGTTCTCTATTATTAATAAGTGATGCAAAAGATCCATCCATCCATCCACTCATTTAGTCCCAAGGTAAAAAAAAAAAAACCATAAAGTTGAGTACCTTTCTAGTGTCTAATTTTTTAGTATAAGAGCAACACCTGAATATTAGTGGAATCAAATAAGAACATTTATAGGGAAGTGGAATCAAATAAGAACATTTATAGGGAAAATAGCTGGGGATGGAATTAATCCAATACTGAGATCAAGGATAAATATTGGAGCAGTGATGGGGACTTATTATATAATTTGCATGAGTGACTACCATATTTCAACTTAGACCAGACTCCAGCACCACCCACATACCAGTGTTTATGCCAAATGCAAACAAAGTTATTGGTGATCAGGTTGTGCTATAATTTAGCTCTGCTAAACTAGACATGTGGAAAATGAATATCTAAATAGGCTACAGTGACCCAATATCACACCACTGCACTCCCTCCAGCCTGGGCAACACAGTGACAAAATGAGACTCTGTTAAGGAAGGAAGGAAGGGAGGGAAGGCAGGAGGGAGGGAGGGAGGGAGGAGGGAGAAGCTGTTCAGACATGAGACAATATTGAAAAATCTTACATGCACATTGCTAAGTAAAAAAGTCAAGCTGAAAAGGCAACATACTGGGTAATTCCAATCATATGACATTCTGGAACAGGCAAAACTATAGAGATAGTAAGACAATCAGTACTAGCAAGGGAATGGGAGGAGAAAGGCATGAATAGGTAAAGAATAGAAAGACTTTCTTTGCAGTAAAACTATTCTGCGTGATACTATATTGGTAGATACAGATCATCATACATTTATCCAAACTCGTAGAATGTACAACTCCAAGAATTAACTCCAATGTAAGTATAAACTTTGGGTGATAATGATGTATCATAGGTTTATCAGTTGCAAGAAATGTATGACTTTGAGGCAGGATGTTGATAGTGGAGGAAGCTGTTCTTGTGTGGGGAAAAGTGGTATATGAGAATTGTCTGTCCCTTCTTCTAAATTTTGCTGAGAATCTATAATTGTTCTAAAATAACAAAGTCTGTTAAGCATTTTAACTTTAATTTAATAAGATGAAATAAATGATGTTATTCACCATTACTGCCCTGGACATTCATCCTAACTGCAAAGTATGAGGGCAATGTTGAATCACAGATTTTCTTGACTTGTTATTTTACAACTCTAACTTGGTTTCAATATTAACAGTCAGCATCCAAAACAGTCTTAACCATCAGAAATATGACATAGCCCTACAATTCAGGGACCACGAAGAAAACATTTTCAAGTTGTGTAAATGTAGTTCTCACTACAATGAATCTCTTAGACCAATATGTTCAAGTTGCTTGAACATTGTTTGAAAATGTTTTTTCAGAGACTCCAAAGAAATAAAGTAGACATATGTGACAAATACTGGAGAGAAGACCCATTCAATTAGTCTCTAATGGTTGATGCATGGCTGCATCCTTGCTCTCTGCCTCATCAGCTGAAGATGCCAGGAATGTAGTCCAGATGCTAAGAATGTGGGCTCTGTAGTCAGATACACTAGTGTTCCAAACCTTTGGGTATATTGCTTTGTTTTTCTAATCTAAATCTCAGTTTCTTTATCTTTAGAAAGGGAATAATGCCTACTTTACATAATTGTTGTGACATTCGGTGAGACCATATATATAAAGTGTTTAGCATCATGCCTCAAAGAGCTATTATGCTGAAGCATATTAAGTTTAGAGACACTATATCAATCTGTCTATTCCGATATTCCTCATACAGCATTTATTCATTCATGTGTATATTCCTTCATTTATTCAGTCAGCCAGACAGTTACTGATTGACTTAATTATTATACCACAAAGCACTAAACAAATATTCATTGTGTGCCAACCACTGTGTTAGGATCTAAGAGAGACATAGAATGTTGTTTTAGTCCATTTTCACACTGCTAATAAAGACATACCCAAGACTGGGAAGAAAAACTGATTTAATTGGACTTATAGTTCCATGTGCCGGGGGAGGCCTTGGAATCATGGCATGAAGTGAAAGGCACTTCTTACATGGTGGTGGCAAGAGAAAATGAGGAAGATGCAAATGCAGAAACCCCTGATAAAACCATCATGAGACGTGTTCATCACCACAAGAATAATATGGGGTAAACTGCCCCCCATTATTCAAATTACCTCCCAGCAGGTGGCTCCCACAACATGTGGGAATACAAGTACAAGTCTCCCAGATACCCTAAATAGCATCTCTCTCAATTTCAA